TCACAACGCCATGACAACACGCTAACTTGTACAGGTATGGCTTAGCCTCCTGTATTGTGAGATGTGCCAGAGGTCTGGACTCTCTTCATTGGGGTTGGGTGACAAGTTAAAGAACGCTGTTTGTTTTATTTCCTCTTGTAAGCATCACATTCTCAGAGATTCATAAGTGCTAATCTGCTTTATCAAAGGCACTTATTTCTCAGATGCAGCTCAGACAGCGGGGTCGTCTCTGATTTTAGATCGGCTCGTCCACATTCAGATCTTACCCTGAATAATTACAGGAGACTTGATGCAACTGATCTCACATCAGTGGAATGGCGTTTTAAACATCTCACTCACAGTCAAACTATGATTATAAATGTGGAATTGAACTCTTTATAAAATGATCCATCCTCTTGACTGTCCCTATTTTCCCTCACTGTCTTCCCATTTCCACTCCACTCAGTGTCATATTAAAAAGTCTGTGATGGTCCGAGTTGGACAGAGACCATAAAAAGCGAAATATAAATGCAGTTTTCTTAATAAAATACACATACTGCTGATGCTAATTCCTGCTAAAACTCCTAATTTATAACCATACATCTAAAGCTTCATGGTGTATTGCATGTTATTGCATCCCACAATGCAACAGGGCCATTTGCTTTTTCAAAGAAAAGACATAAAACTGAGGTATATTTTGTGGTGGCAGTATAGAAACTTTGTAGGTAACTAAAACAATGAACTTTGCCAATTGAAACAACAAGCTAATGCTAACTAGCCAGGTAGCAAACTGATGTTGGCCCAGTGTAATTTTATCCATTGGGTAGCAACAGGGCTAATGGATTTTCAGCCACCTTTATGATCATTACAGTTTCTATTAAAACAAGGCAACATAGCAACCCAAAAATAGAAGTTGGGCCAATGTCAGTTTGCTACCTGGGTGGGAACTAATATAATTAATAATTTTCCATCAATAGTTTATTACTTGTTAACTTGTACAAGTGGCTCACTTTAATACTGTACAAAAGATTAGCTCTTTATGCTAGTTGTGTCATAACATGTACTGTACATCTTTACTGTACATCGTCCTTCTTTTTCTAAAAGCTAAATCAGCAAAAATGAATAAGCTAATGCTAACTGACAGTTATTAGCAACTAAAAATATTTTTCAAGTCTGTCAGTATATGTTAGGTATTACTAAGTTAATACATGTCATTCATATGTTGCTTTAAATAATCATTTACTAGCATTGGTGGTTTAATTGATACTGTAAAAACAAAACAAAACAAAAAACGCTTAGCTATTTATGCTAGTTGAGTTATCTGTATTTACACTGTCCTCCTGTTCCTAATGTAAGGCTAGTTCAGTAATGTTAAGTGAATAAGAATAATGCATTTATTTATTAGCAAATGATAAATCGTTTGGAAGTCTGTTAGTTTATGTTAGATGTTGCTAAGTGGATACAATTAATTAACATTTTGACTCAAATATTTCGCCTTAAGTAATCATATCTTTCTTAATCTTTTCCAAACAAAAGATTAGCAATGTATGCTAGCTTCTAGTGTCAGTGCTGTATTTTCAAATGTCCTGCTTTTTCTAAATTTAGGCCAAATCAGTTTTAAATGTCTTCAAGCCTGTCTTTGCTGCTTCGTTGCGTCATTTCTGGCTTTCACCACCACAGATTTTGGGTCAAAGTAAATGTGAATCTCCTCAGCACAGTAATGAAGCAGTCTGAGGTAATTCCTATGTAACTGCATCTATGAGTGAGCTTAACTGACAAGATAGTCACATGACTGTGCTGTAACCCAAATGCTAATCTTGGCATACGGCAGGGCGTATTATACTGCAAGCAACTAGTGCTAGTGTGTAGTATACAGCGTAGTGCATAGTGTACAAGTAGGACATTTGAAACACAGCCACTTGCTGCACTCTGTCTGTCTTTCTCTCTCTTACTTTCATTCTCTCAGTTTGATCTGCTCATGGCTGTTTGTTTCTCTCAGTTTGATCTGATAATGGCTTATTGAACATGGCAGCTATGTGTGTGTGTGTGTGTGTGTGTGTGTGTGTGTGTGGTGTGTGTGTGTGTGTGTGTGTGTGGTGACAATAGCATTCTGCAGAGTCTGTCATCCCCTTTACAATCCCTCCATCCATCTCCATTTAATCTATGCTCATCCACACCCATCACAACTACCTAGCCAAATACTTATAAAATAATCGCTTATCCTACTTTCGTTATATATATATATATATATATATATATATATATATTAGTCTTTCTGCATTAGAGAAAGATCTGTTCTAGTGATTAAATCTCACATGAACTGTAGTGCCACACAACACGACATCCTTTCCTGAGGGACTAGTTACAGTCAGAGAGACAGCACTGAGACCACCTCCTTCTACTACACAACTCTCACCCTCACCGTATTAACACCATCGACACCAGTTGATAATTACACGAAGAGCTGCTTCTCTATAATTCTGCTCATGTGCTCTACCCCTTCTGCCTGTGCATAATTACACAAGACGAAATCAACAGGAAATGATACAGCTCTGGGCGGCTGTTGGCCCGTATTGTAGGGAATTGTAGAGGAACAAAGCTGCTTTTATCTTTTATGTTACTATATAACTGTGCAGGTTTAATTGTAGGGTTCAGGGCTGTTAGTTACTGTGTGTCAGGCTGTGGATTATACTGTGAGCAGCAGTAAGAAAAAGAACATGGACTGTATTGTAAGAGGTCTCTTCGCTTCTCTTTGCTGATTTTGTCCTCTTTTAAAAACATATTCTCTTCTCTTCGCTTCGCTTTTGTTTTTCTTTTCTGTTAGCTTCCTATTGCGATTTTGTCTTCTTTTTACAATATTCCTCTTCTCTTTTGTGTTTTTTCTTCTATTCTGTTTTTGTCTTCTGTATTTCTCTTCTGTTCTTGTCCTATTCTCTTGTCTTCTCTTTTGTTTTGTTTCTTCTGTTTTCTTCCTCTTCTCTTGTTCTCTTTTCTTCTTTTGTTTTGCTTTTTACTTTTTCTCTTATCTTCTCTTCTCTGATTTTGTCTTCTTTTTAACACTTCGTCTTCTTTTTTGTTTTTTTATTTAGTTTATTTCTCTTCTCTTCTGTTTTTCGTTTCTGTTACTTTCCTATTCTGATTTTGTCTCCTTCTGCCTCTTCTTCCTCTTCCTCTTCTTGTTTTTTTTTTTTTTTTTTACAATATTTCTCTTCTCTTTTGTGTTTTTTCTTCCCTTCTCTTCTTTTCTTTTCTCTTCTCTTATCTGCTCTTCTGTGATTTTTTTTCTTTTTAACATTTAACATATTCCCTTCTTGTTTAGTTTATTCTCATCTCTTCCCTTCTCTTCTTTGATTTTGTCTTTTTAAAAATATTTTTCTCTTCTTATATCTTTTGTTTTTCTTTTCTGTTGTCTTCCTCTTCTCCTCTCCTCTTCTCTTCTTTTGCCTTTTTAAAAATATTTTACCGTCACCTTCTCTTTTCTGTTTTTCTTTTGTTCTCTTCTCTTCTTTTTAGTTTTTTCTCTTCTCTTCTCTTTTGTTTTTCTCTTCTGTGTTCTTCCTATTCTCTTCTTCTCTTATCTTCTCTGATTTTGTCTTCTTTTTAACATTTAACATGTTCCCTTCTTTTTCTAGCTCTTCTCTTTTCCTCTTTTCTTTTGTCTTTTTAAACATATTTTTCTCTTCTCTGATTTTGTCTTCTTTTCAACATTTACTGTAACCTCACCTTTTTTTTTCTTTTGTTCTCTTCTCTTCTTTTTAGTTGTTTCTTCCCTTCGCTTCTCTTCTCTGTGAATATTGTTCACCTTTGCATTCATTTCTCATTCTGTAATCAATTGGTCCAAAGCACACTTAGCTTTTTTTTTGTTTAATTATTATTATTGCGCTTAACACCACACAGATGAAGTCCTTGTAATCACTTTAAACTGAGCTTCAGAACATTGAGTTCTTCGAGAACAAGTAAGAGCAGATTAGAGCAGGAGCTGAGCACTTATTCCTCTGAACTACTGACTCCCGCATCTCTCTGCCCTCCCTCCTACATAAAGCTTACAAACTCTGCCGAGATCACTAACACTGTTCACCAGTATCCAAAATCAATATGACCTATACACACAGGCACGTACACTCTTACAGATATACACGCTTCTCCTCGCATTGACTCAGCCTTGGGGACGCATTTTAACAGTTCCGATGAAGAAGTGGAGAAAACAGCTTCCCACAGAGCAGGGGTCATCGGAGTGAACGGCCCAGGCTCAGTTTAGTCCCTGACCGATCCGATGTTAAAAGCATTTTAAACTCAACCAAACACTGAAAGCATTTTCTGATGCTGAAATGCAGGGGGGAAAAAACACAAGAAACACAAGGCAAAAAGTGTTATTTCTGTAGACTGTTTTCTACTGGTAACTGTAAAGCAGGGTTCTAGCTGTGTTTTGACATTTAAACAGAATTTTTTAACCAACCCTGCAATATTAATTATTAAATAGTTAACTCCACTTGGATAGCTTGGATGGACCAATTGGTATAACTTTGTGGGTATCATGGGGAAAAAAAACATTGATCTGTACAGTACTTCTTTTTCAGACAGTGTGATACACCATAACATTTATACACCGAGTCTATGTGAGGTAGTTAGCTAATATTAGAGATATTAACAAAATTATAATTATGGTATATTTTGTTAAACCAATTGCCAAGATTATACCATTACATATCAAAGCCACTGACACTTAAAACAAACAGACGTTGCTATGCCATTTTAATTATACTTGGTATCAAGTATCAGTCCAAACAACACTTTTATACCAACATCTAATACCAGGTGATACAATGTGCCATAAGACTTAATGACTGTGATCTGGACATATATCACCATTAATTATGTGAAAAAATCAAGAGGCAGTACCCCAACCGAGTAACTTGATAAAAACAACGCATGGTGTTTAAACGGTATCTTTAATAGAGAAAGTGGGGATGGCCAACTTGAGCATGCAGAGCGCTCTCAGCAAGTGCATTCATTAAAATTGTGGCAGTGGTAGCTCAGTGGTTAATATGTTGGTCTACTGCTCAAAAGGTCATGAGTTCAAGCCCCAGCACTGCCAAGCTGCCACTGTTGGGTCTTTGAGCAAGACCCTTAACCCTCAATTGCCCAGATGTATAAATGAGATAAATGTATGTCGCTCTGGATAAGAGCGTCTGCCAAATGCCCTAAATGTTATGTAAAGTTGTTGTGAATTGTGTGCACACAGAGACATTTTTGAGTCTACAGAGAAGCTGCCGTGCAGTAGAGCACTTTTGTTCTGTGAGCACTGAGACATGCTCACCTACTTTCTGCACTTTGCTTGCGAGTGGGGCTTGTTTATTAAATACCACACTCACACGGTCAGGCCGACCCTCAATCTCTCTATTAAAGATACTGTTATGTTAAACACTATAACATCCATTCATCTTCCACACCGCTTATCATATACAGAGTCACAGGGGAGCCTGGAGCCTCTCCCTGAGAACTCTGGGCACAAGCCGGGGGACACCCTGGACGGTGTGCCCACCCATCACCGGGCACGATCACACACACATTCACGCATTATGGAAAATTTGGAAATGACAATCAGCCTACAATGCATGTCTTTGGACTGGGTAGGAAACCAGAGTTTCTGGGGGAAACGCCCGAAGCACAGGGAGAACATGCAAACTCACACACACACACACACACACACACACACACACACACACACACATGGTGAAACAGGGGTTGAACCCCATGCTAACTACTAAGTCACAGTGTTCCCCACACCATAACGTTTAAACATAAAAACAACATAAACAGAGCGAAAATAAATGTTCCTTGATGCCCTTGATTGATTAGTACCACAGTAAGTAAGCTACTCATTTTTGTATCAGTATGGACATTTTTTAGTAACAAAAAACAGGATCAAGTACACAAGGGTATGTTAGCATGCATGTTCGCATGAGATTGTTACTTGAAGTAAGTGTTGGCATTAATGTTACTGTGAGCAGGACTTCGGGATGGAAGAGAGAAGGGAACGGGATGGAGGTGAGGGCTGATGGAGAAACAGCTTCGTCATTTACATATAAATGAGAGTTACCGGTCATGTGGTCCTGACCTCATTAATTCTGATGGTCGGACACTTGGAGTGTGGCAGGTGCCTCTGGAACTCAGATTACACCTCACCTGGCGTGCATTTATGATGCGTTTCCTGGCTGACAGGAAGCCATAAGTGCAAAGAGCGTGACACTGGCATTTGCTGTTTGTCACACTCCTACGTGGCACCAATCAGGGTAACATTTAAGTGGGAAGCGTGTCTGCTCTGCTCGCCTGTTTTCACACCAAAGTTGTTAGCTGAAGTGTTCCCCCTCCACAATGCAATTTTACATCAAAGGCTTCATGAGGCTTAGCATAAACAACATGGCTCGTAAACAAGGGTTCGTTTGGGAGAGAATAATTTGCTCCCCCTCCTTTGCATACTGTACACTCACACGCTGGCTTCTATCTGTGTGTGTGTGTATGTGTGTGTGTGTGTGTGTGTATGTGTAACCCTGCCATCCTCAACCCTACGCTGTCATATTCATCTGGCCCGAATTAGACACGTCCTTTCCCCATCAGGCCTGTCATATCTGCAGCAGGCCCATCCAGCAGACTGTAATCCTCTCTGACAGCTGCGGCAGTTTAATGCAAACACACATGCCCAAACCCTGAGAGATAGAGAAAGAGAGAGAGATGTCAAAAGAAAGTCTACAGCGAAGAGACTGCAGTTTTCGGCCTACATAAACACACTATTCCCACCATTGGCTCTCTTATATTACATCAACTACCACTGAAGGTGACTGACTGCTTGGTTTATATCGGTTTTATTTGAAAAAGTTGCACGTGAATTGACAAGATTTATTTAATAACCGCTCATTTTGCGTGTATTCAGACTTGACTATGCCATATGTGACTGGAAAAAAATAAAACTATATAAAGGACCTACTAAGAACAGAATGCTGTTGAGGGAATAATTCCTTTATTCAGAGATATTCACAGTATAAATGTTCATTCTTATCCAACAAACAAAGCTTGTACAGCATATTTATGGCCATATTTATGCCAAAACATAAGCATAGAGTAGGAATAGAGTAACACCCTGTCTGGAATGCTAATGCAACCTCTGCCATTCCACTTTCAGTTCACTTCATGACTTTATAAATACACAAATACGATTCGATCATTGCGAAGTCTTGAAAAGCGTCATGGTTGTGTACGTTCTGAGCCTTGTTACTCTCCTGATTTATTTATTCTCTGTTTGATTGTTTTCTTGGTTTATTCTTTCGATTATCTTCTGTCTGGTTTGCACTATGATTTCCCATGTTCTGACTACTTCCTGATTACCGACTTTGATCTGAATTGTGATTTGTTTTGTTTTGAATGTTGTATTTAAGCACCTCAGTGCATGGATCCTAACTCTTACTCTGAGTCTAATGATCACTCATGATTAATGACTAGTGGATGATTCAAGCCAGAACAACCGTAATGATCACAGCGAAACCACAAAATAAATAAAAATTAAATGAAATTAGTTAATGTGTGTTTCAACTGACAGGAGAAATATATATATATTTTTAAATCATGATAAATAGATAAATTAATTAATGTTACTATAGCATTTAAGGCATTTGATCTTTTAATGTATATTATGATCTAGGGAGTCAAGATGTGCAGTTTCTCTTGTTCTGTCTGTTCCCATCTCGGCTTGTTCTTAGTTCTCCAGTTTCCTCCCATCTCTCATAAAACAAGCTGGTAGGTAAATTGGCTATAGTAAAATAGTTTATCTGTGGATGGTGATCTGCGAAGGACTCCAGTCAGAATGTATTTCCATTTTACACCTAGCGTTCCCAGTATCGGCTCCGGGTCCACTGTGAGCCTGACAGGGATAAAGATGAATATATGAATGAGTACTATGGTCCATATCTACCATACTATATCTACATGTTTTGCACCACTGACACTTTCACATCAAAGTCGAGATTGCTGTAATTGAGCACCCATTTCTAAATTGATTGGACGGATTAAACATGTAATAAAACTAACCATGGATTTTCAGCATTGCACAGTTTACAGACGTGTGGAAAAACCCTAATAGCACACATTATGGGGAAAATACCCCAGATCCTCCCATCTGTTTGCTGGCCGGAAGACATATAGGTTTATAATGTGCCAGATAATTAATTAGGTAATTAGGCGAGGTGCCCTTCTTAGTAGATCTGTCACAAAATTGGTCAAATGCGCAAACGGACACTAAAACATCTGTAATTAGAGCCTCTGGAATCGTGGTAGGTCAGTGATTAATGTTCTGAGCTAGTGCTTGGATGGCAGTGTGTTCGAATCCCAGGACAGACAGAAAGCCATCAGGCTCAATTATCAACTGCGTTGGATTGAAAGTGTCTGCCGAATCAATAAGTGTAAATGTGAGTGCATGGCCTTTGCAAAACACAGTTAATCTATTGTGTACAAATGTGACCAAATAAAAATCCTATATGTTTAAAAGACCATTTGGCAACAGCTTCAGATCTCTGTAATAATCGTTAATGAATAAAATGACCCTTCATATATAATACATAGTCACGTATATTGCTGTATTGCAAGTAAGTGTCTTTTGACACTAGGAATGGATTCTACTTGAGGTTAAAAAAAAAAATTGCCAAATAGATTAAAAGTAAATGCAAATGTATTCACAGGCCAACTCTCTGTTAGCAAACTCAAGAGTTCATCTCTTGTGTTAACCTTTCCCTATTGGAACTTTAAAAGTCATGTCTCTTGCTCAAGAGTGACTTTTACAACCGAAAACAATTCTACCGTGACATTTACATTCTCCTATTGAATAAACATTTATTTTATGCCATTACAATATCCCAGATTTATTCCCATACCTGCAAATCTTGTTCAGTAGGAGGAACTGAGGAATGGCGCTGGAGTAAATATGTAGAGTGAGAAAATACTTAAAGCTTGGTGTACAGGAACGTGGCTGCTCCCGCAATTCTCTGATCTGCTATATAGACATTATTTAATGCCAAGGTTCATGTATTTGTAAACATGAATACGGGATATGGCATTAAAATGGACGAAGTCTTTCACCTTCAGAACTGTGTCATCGCTTTTTCGCTCTCATCTTCACTTTTCTTGCTTGGCTTGGGGTTTACGTCCCTCTGCTGCATTTTATCTTTTATTTTTATCTTCCATTTCTTTTATCTCTGTCTCCCTCACTGTGCTCATTAGCTCAGTGTTTTGTGGTGTGTGTGGCCTGGTTTATAGAAATGCAGCGCTGTCACTTGCCTGCGTGTTGTTGTTTTTTTACTCTAAACAGACAAAAGGAGGCGCTTTCCCCTCAAGGCACTGCGTCACATTAATCATACAGCAAACAAATCTAGAACTGAATTACACCCCGATTGAAAGGATTGGCGACATGCAGCAGGTGGCCACTTCGCGGAGTTTAAATAACCTTTCCTACTGGTCAATAATGACCAAACACAGCATTTGAATCATGACAACTCAACCCCTGTGTATTTGTTTAAGACTGTCATTTGCTGCTGGGTATTGAGTGAGTTCATTCACCCCACATGCTTAGATCCCTGACACATGCCCAAGCCTTTATGCCATTACAAAATGAACTGACATTCTGCCGTAACAGTCTTGTTCATTCATCAATCACAGCTTTAATACTGTCTAAATAATAAGACTGGGTAGAGCATGTGAATGCGGTGATTGTGTAACTGTGTTCTGCAGGCTGTGAGTGGGTATGTGAGGTCTGGGATCCCCATGTGCTCAGGCACTGGCTCCCAAAAAGCTCGCACTGCTCTGTTCAATTTGAGTTGTGGGCAGAGCGATCAATACAACCATTAATTCTACTTAGTGGCGCCGCATGGAACAAGCAGAGGCTGTAGGCCGCACAAGACCGCGAGTGAATGGTTGACCTTTCAAAGCTGTGCTTCGTCGTACATCATCCTCAGCCATGGGTGTGCTTATGTTAGACTGAAATAATATGGAGATCTACATGATCTAAACAGTAATTCTGTCATTTCCATGTACGAAAGTTATATTTAACTG